CCAAAGTTAAAAGAGTATATATTGTTATTTGTAGATCAGTACAAATTATTTGTATATTTCAAGTATTAATTGACCTCAGTACCAGAACATTCAAGTATAGTCATACTTTAATGATCTTATGTACCATTTCGAATTTGCCTTAAAAATACTAAAGTCACTTTTAAAAATCACTGGTTTTTAAGCGAAAAATAAAGTACCGGTACTAAAAATTATGAAAATTCCTAATATTACAAATAATCGCATTGAAAATAACACAACATTTTTGAAACTTCAACAATGAGAACTATGGCATAGGCGATTTTCGGCTACACAAGAATTCACGAGTTACCGGTAGATGGTGTGTAACCGAATCTGTGAAAACCATAAGAGAAAAGGCAAAGTATTAGCATTAAATTGACGCAGGTACTAAAGAATTCTGATACTTTATCAGAATTTGTACGCAAAAAATCTCTACTTTCAAATTGATCGTAAATTGCGGTTAAACGATATTGAATTCGTATATAATTCTCAACGAAGCTACAATCCAAATCTTATACGCGTGTTTCCTGGTTTTACCGGTAGATTATAGAGTGTCAGGTTACATCCAGTGATAGAACAATTAGTATCCAATCAAGATACCTAAGTCGCGGGTGACTCGGGTCATTTGAGGTTTCATCAATGTAATATACTGATATCAGAAATAAGAAATTTAAGGCGACAACTAAATGCTCGTTATTCTTATTGCCGTGCTCGTATTCTAAATAATACGAGACGTGTCGATGTATAATATTGTCTAATTGTTTTACATCATAGTATTGCATACTAAAAATGTTAAAGTGGAAAAATTTTTATACGGAATTATTTCCGAAAAAAATTCCTTCTCGCAGGTATCGAATTAGATATCAACTTTCCAACGATACAAAGCAAGACACCCACGCTACGCATCGACTACAAATTGGCATTTTCACGGGCCATCGAGCTCCTTATATTCTCGCGTTAACTTGGGATATATTTATCAGGGACCGATCAACACACACACGCAGGCTCTAAAATCCCAGCGTCGATCAGCATAACTGTTTCAATTTAAATCGTGCGTTTTTGCGTACACATAAATCGTTGTCGCTGTACATAATAGGCAGAGCCGTGTCAGCACCCCCCAGCGTTGGCAGCTTCGAACGAGAGAAAAGTATATATAGCCCAGGTGGTGGCGCAGAGATAAACGAGCGAGTGAGAAAAAGGGAAAATTAGCCACAAGAAAAGGTTTACAACTCGAGCGAGTACAAAAGTCAATGCTCCATATGTCCCCGTTGCTGCTGCTGCTGCGTGGGTGTAGGGGGCTACTTCGATAATGTACCTGAAAAATCGAAATGGATCAATTTGTGTGAGATTTTCGCCGTTGTAGCTATTTAACGGGCCCGCGCGTGGGTGTCTCTTTTGTTCCCGCTTCTCTCTCTCTCTCGCTCTTTCGTCGTGTGCGGGTAATTTTTGCGCGTGTGTGGCTCTCTTCACACCACAATATAGGATATATGCTCCTTTAAACGGTGCGGCTATAAGAGCCACCGCTGCTGCTGCCGCAGAGCATACATACAGGATAATTTATGTTTTGACGCGCGCGCGTGCCACACGGCCTTATAGCGCATTGTTTAGAATATATAATAACAATCATAATAATGCCCCGGGACCCATTGAGTTTCCGGCCCGGGGAGTTGTGTCGTTTAACGCGCTCGCGAGTGACGCGCACTCATTTAAAAATTGTATATACGTTATAACGTAATATACTACGTGTATGTATATTTATCGATTATGGGCTATTTATTGTGCGCGGCGCGCTAAACGATTCACGAATTATTGCCGGGGCCTTATTTACAGATTTCGTGGTGGCGGGTTTTTACCTTTGAACGCGGCGTACATCGTGTTTCCGGGAAATTTTTCCGTTATGCGTACCTACTTGAACAAATATATAAGAGAAGAAAACGAAAAATTATACGGATCTAATATCTGCATCGCGCAGTATAGCGCAGAAAAAAAAATAGACGATGAATCGGGGATCGCGAAACGCCCCGAGACTCTTTCCAATCAGTTGAATATTTCACGTGATTTGTCGTTTCGCTCTAGAAGAGAAGAAAAAGGAGCATCGCAAGCAAGCGACAACACCGCACGACGGATCGGCCGTCGCGCGCTGCAAATTGTAAAGGCATGGCCTAGGCAGGCAGGCAGCAGGCTGGCCAATAATTAACGCCTTTTGCCCGTACATCGTGTTGTGTATACACACAGGAGAGGCAAGGCGACGAGTCGTAAATCGCCAAGAGAGAGAGACAAACTTCGACGCAGCTCCGGAGCTCTATGGGTATTGTTTGTATGTGTGTGTAGGTATATACCGTATAACGGCAGCAGTTTACCGTATATAAATTACCAAATAAACGAAACGAAAAAACATTGCGCCTGTATACGCGGGTACTTGAGCTTTTGTGTCGCACGCGTTGTTTTTCCTCTGTACCTTTTTTTTTTTTTGCGCTTCGCCGTTGCTTCATCTATTGCCGCCCGCGCAGCAGAAGCTTTACACACATCTCCTCCTCCTATATCCGCACGAAGTCAATAAATAAGCTCGGTCGACCAATAATTCCCGAACGCCCGAGATAGAGAGAGAGAGAGAGAGGTAATACACCACCGCGTACCTCTCGGAGTTTTCATTCTCTCTTTCTGTGTGCTTGTGTGTTGTGTGTTGTGTCGGTGTGCTCTCTCTCTCTGTGTGCTTGTGTGTTGTGTGTGTCCGTCCGCGCCGATGAAAATATCATGAGCAAATGAAAGAAAACCGAGGGAGAGTTTGATAACATCGGCGATCGACGACGACTCTTTTTCTGCGGAATGAAAAAAACCCCCCGCCGCGCGATTTATTGCTCGAAAACAGGTGCAAAACGACGAATATAAAATAATACACCCGCACCCGATTCCGCGCTCCTTTCTTTCCTTTTTTTTTGTTTGCCTTTTATTGCTGCGCGCTCGTCGTCGCGTTCGTCCTTCGTTCGTACCGAGGTACAAATCGAGGAAAAAATTTTTAATTTCTATATCGCCCGGATGCGCTTACTCAAACGAGAGCTTAGTTATTATTCAAACGCTTTAGGTATATATATTTCGCCGGAGAGGAAAGTTCCCCGGTGCGCGTCGTGCTCTTCGTTTATTTTATATTATTTCATAATATATACGCGAGTCGCTGCTAAAAATGGGGAAATACCGATGGTACAATTGTTTTTAGCCGACTAGATAAGCGCGCCGAGGGAAGAAACGTCAACAAACGAGCCGTGTGTTGCGCGATAACCGGTATTTAAATTTGCCAAATTCTTTCTTCTCTTCGATCGATGTTACGTAAACGACGAGAGAACAATGGCAATGATGTATACCTAACGTATTTAAAGAAAAAGAAGCTGCAGCGTAAGATATAGGAGAATAGGACACAGCTCATCGGCTGTATTTTCGCGTTCACTCGGGCGAACATTTACACACACACATACCGGCGAAGCTGCAGCACAGGAGAGTCAACCCTTGCTCGGGCGACGGATCTACTATATATGTATACTATATACGCTCATCGCGCATATAGGAGTCCAAGATTTCCCTCGGGACTTTTCGGGGCTCTGCGACTGTGCCGTGTATACGGAGCGACCTGGATACACATCCTTTCTGCAGAAACATTGTCCTCGCGACGCTTCTATCTCTCTCTCTCTCTTTTTTTTTTTTATACTCTCTCCCACGGGGGGACACTACGACGACTACCGTGCGCTCGTCCAGGGTGCGAGAGAACAAAAAAAAAAGGAGAAAAAGAAGGATGTCGACTGATTTGATGATGAAGACACTGAGAGCTCGGATTGATCGTTCTAAAGGGTCGAATTATTCTCGACTTTTTTATTGGCGCAGATTTTTTTTTTCTCCGCGTTTCCCAATTTTCACAGAGAGAAAATTATTCAAGGGTCTCGCGAGCCGGAATCAGGGTAGAAATGAAATTGAGTTAAAATTTATGTAAATTGTACGAGATTAATGTTTTATCATTTCTCTCGAGAAAGATTACTGAGTTGGTAATGATTTCGATTGGACGCGCATCAGACCAAAAGGATGTGTCGTGTTTTCAATGGGCCAAGTTTAATAATCTAAGCCACGCTTGACATACGTACAGTGACATCTGTGAAAGCTAAGTGAAACTTTGGAGGTCGATAAAAGCAGTTATCAACTGGATCAAGTTGGTTGGACTAATTATAAAATGAATTGACCGAAAAATGTGTCTGTGAATTTTGATATACTTATTATGGCAAAAATAAATTTCAATTAAAATCCAGATCGTCAAGAATGTTTTGTCAAAATTTACATTCGCTGTGTTTATCACCTCAGATCAATGCTCCACTTATGTACGTACGCTTATGTAAAGTTAAAATCAACAAGTTCATTCTCAAACACTTTAATATAAATATTCACAGCTTGTAACAATAAAAATCATTATTAAATAATAGGAAGGTGTGATTAAATATTTGCTTGCATACAAACTTCTCCCCTTTTGTCATACATCTTCAATAATTCTATTGTTTTACGTGGGAAACCTATTAGCTCGTAAGTTGTTTTTTTATCTTTGTTCTTTTACGTAGATCGAATGCTTTTGAGATTAACATTAAATTATTGGAATCCATTACGATCAAAATTGAATGTACGCGTTGATATTTAATTATATCGTCCCATCATTCAATTATCATTTATGTCACAATTCATTGAATTTTGAAGCTAATAGGTTTTAATTTTAAATAAATAAACATGTTTATTTTGCTCTCGATAAGTAGGACATGCGACTGTGTAATGATTTGGACTTGATGAGACCATCAGACGTAAACAACTATACAAGCACTTACATTACACATTTTTGTGATATCTCAAACTAATTCTATTGATTAAAGTATAATTGCACAGCTTTTAATATTCAATTACAAGGAATGTTCTTTTAGTTTGTATTTCATTATATTTCAGTGAAAAAAAATATGTACTTACTTTTGATAAAAAGATATTAACTCTATATTCTTAATAATTCATTTACAATAAAATACTGTATGCTAAAAATGCACAGAATATAAGGAAATTCATTGATTTTATACTTCATATGACATCAAGATATTTTATTTCAATAAAGACCATTTCAGCTGTTCTTTGGCTGATTGTAGAACCTATAAAAGAAAATTAAAATCATTCCATGTTTTGCTATACTTTTTATAACAAACATTTTACAATTCTTACTTGTGCGACTGTCTGTTCACCCAGAGGAATATCATCATTCCTTAGAGCAACTCTGTGGACTATACGATGAGCATCAGCATCAAGAATAACTCTGCAATATTATAGAAAAAGTTGTAAAAGTTTCATCATGCATAATAATATTAAATTCTATAGTCTTTGTAAGCTTTTAATTAGTTAATTTATTAAGTTATTATTTTGAAGAAAAAAAACAAATATTAAACATACCCTCCATCACAGATTTCATCAACTGCCAACATGACAATATCCAAACTATCAAGCACAGCCTTTTTCTCTACATTCTTCCTAAGAATGTGACTGACAGAATCATACAAACAGTTTAAGACGCTCATCAATAATAACTAAAAAACAATTAAAGAATACTTTAAACTAACATAAAAAATATAATGACTAATATTATGGAGCATAAACAAACCTCATTTTCGTGAGAGCTACCCATCACATAAAAGAACAAATCGACATTGCTCTTGTACACGCAAGTCATACCGTCCAACATAATGATTTCTGCATTTGCCCTGTGTGTTTTATTGAACAGATTCTTTTCGAAAGCTTTCTGTTCCTTTGCTGTAGGGAAAATATTTTTGTCATAGTACTTGGCGAGTATTCTTTCCCCATCATTGTCTAGGATGGCAATGCCTTTGACAGTGTATAAACTGGGCTCCTAAAAAGTAAATTATCATTGAAATTCATTGATTAACAATATAAAGATTAGTTAATTGTGCAAAAACCTCTTACATATGCTTTACTATTTTCACTGATATGATACATATTGGAAGGTTATAGTAAGCTCAAAAAGACTATGTCTTACAACAAGCAAGTGCTAAGTTCTGGCAGCCACTGAGATACACAAAAACTTAACGTGTTTATTGAGTGGGGATGAGGCAATCTAAGACACAGATTCAAAACAGGAGATGCAAAGATGAATACTCACGAATAGCTGACCGTCCATCGTTTGACGTGTCGCTTTGACTTTCCGAGCTGTGTATCTTAACTTAACCTGTCTGACTGACACTAGCAGCCGTACACGAACCGTCTGCTCATTCAATTAATGATTTGCCCCTTTAAAGGCAATTTATACTTTTCTAAAGCATTTTCTAATGTTTCTTCAAATTGAAAAACCATAAAAAATACTGTTATATTGTTTACAATAAAGTACAGTCAATTTTCTTACATTTTGAGAATGTAATATTTATTAAAACTTTTATTTGTAAAATAAGTACAAAAATATATTCAACTTCTTTGAGCTTTCATCATCAATTCCTACTAAATTTTTTGAATTTTTATATGAAAATAAACATCCTTTAGCTACAATATTTTTGAAAACGTGTTAATTTTCAATTAAAAGTTACAAAAATAAAATTTTTCATTTCAAATTCAAGTTGTAAAATTTTAAAAGTGATTCTAAACTTAATAATTAATTGTCACTTTTTATCTTTAAATTCAGATCTTACAAGTCTTGGCACGTTAGTAAATCGATCAAGATAGTTATTAACATTAGATCGCATTAGATATTGATTAAATTTTAATTGGTATTGGGTCGTATTTTACTTCCAACTTTGCCCAGTGATCGTTAAATTGTTTTACGAATGACTTTACAATATTTTTCTTTTCCGTTATAATTATATTCTCATAATTTCCTTCAAATGCCTGTGGTGTCCAGTTAGCGCTACCATTAAGAAGTATCTTTTTGTCAATAACTATAAATTTATGATGCATTAAGTAATGATCCATTGCTTTGGATCGAACTTCAATATCTAAAAAAGATATCAATTGTATAATATACTTGAAAATGAAATAGATTAGTTCGTCTTGAAATTACTAGACATAATTATTTGATTACGTACTGTTTTGAACTAAGTCATATATCGGGCTATATGCATTTTTCATGGTATCCTCATCTGTAATAACTCTAATTTTAAGTCTCCTCTTTCTGGCTCTGATAACAGCATTGACTAGTGGATTGTACGATAAAAAAAATACACAAATGTCCAATGACTTTTTTGCTTCATCTAGGTACTTCAAAATTAATCTGAAAAAATCAATTTAATTTAAATGAGCTCATTGATTACTTTCTGACTTTCATTAGAAACTACTAACTCTAAATTTTCTCCAAGAGCAGTTTTTGAGTATAGATCCGTTCTCTTCTTCAGTGATTTATCAGGAAAAAATAATACCATGGTCTTTTCAGATCCTATAGACGGTTGATAGAAGTACTTCTGTACAATTTTCCATACAATTTCTGATGCAACTGCAGAAACAATAGTATAAAACACTACTTTTGAGCACATGCCAAGTCCAAAAGAGAAGGACATCTGCAAAAGAATTTTCAAGCGGTACAGACATACACAACCATTTCAACACTTAATATTAGGACTTACTTTAAAATGAATTTTTCTTTTTATAAATGAGTATCAATTAAACTAATATTTATTAACACTACAGTCGAAACATGTGAAAATAATTTCATATCAATCTCAAGCCGGTAAAAGCCGGCAACATTTCACAACAGGTACAAACTGTAAATGAGCAGAACCGTTACTAGAACGCGTTGAAAATCGAATGATGATAACACAATATGAACGTCCTTGCGGACACTACACATCTATATTAAAGAACTTGACTTCTGTGTTTACAAAACAATATCAGTTGGCGGCATGACCGCCCGCGTGCTTCATAATTGCACACATAGTCTGCGGTAGCATAGACTATATCTTTTTGAGCGCCAAATAACTGGGCTTCTTCGGAGATAATTCTAAACACGTCGGACACCTACAGTTACAGGTATGCGACGGAACATTGATCTCGAAGTTGATCATAATTGATAAAAATACATTCTGTTTGACCTAATATCATTGTATTAGGTATTTGATTTAAGTTTTATTTAAAATGAATATATCATTTCGAGAGTTTAAAGCAATTTATGATCAATGGAAGGAAAGTGAATGTTTATAATGTTTCTTGTTCTTCAAAGGATTTAAATTATTCTTCACAGTACGAGGAAAATTTTTTTCAGGTAAAATAACACTAAGTTCATTTTTCACAGATATCTTTTATTAAAGCGGTATTAATAAATATTTTTTTTTACAATTCCTAAAAAATAATTTCGTAAAAGTTAAGTTACAAAATAAATTGGTCAAAAACTCGTCAAGATCTTTAAAAGACTCTCGATTGTAATGCATAATTGTCGACAATTATCTCACCCACGAGATAAATGTGAATCACAGACAGTTTTGTACTTCTAAAATGATTTATATCAATTTAAAAAGTAAATTGTTGACATTGTTCGCGAAATAATACGTATCGATCGTGTGCACAAATCAAAATTCGAAATACAAACTTATCGGTTTTCTCATTGATTAAGAAAATTACAGTAAAATACCTCTTATGTACAAATACTTGAGTAAAAGTCAGTTTATAAAATTCGCCGATTAATAAAATGGTAATATTTTAAATATTTCGATTAAAATATTTACACGAATACAATACATCAGACTTATCGCATACCATAAAGCTACCTCACAATCATTGAATGATAATTTTTTGAACTGATTCAATCGTAATTTTTGTCGAAACGATCGTCGTGACCCCAAGCCTTGCTATTGGTATTGGGAGCCGTATCTTTCTTTTCGCGCGGAGACTTTTTGGTATTGTTGCCGCGATTATCTCTCGCGTTGTCGCTGTTAGCGGCACCGGCGCCTCGAATCGCGCGCGGAGTCGGACGCTTGTAGTTGTTGGAGGGGCTGCTCTCTTCGTTTTCGCATTTTTCTTGGATTTTCGTCTCTGGTTTTTGCTGATCGGCTTTGGCTGAAGCGGACTTGACTTGTGGCGATGCCCCCGTTGGACGCTTATAGCTGTTGGGATAACTTCCCGGTTTTTCGACGGCTTTTTTAGGACGTACTTCTGCTTCCGAAGTATTGTTTTTGTTAACTTTTCTGATTTCTTCATAAACACTTCCTAATTCGGAAGCGTAAAACTCTTCTTTTTCGGCATTCAATGGCTCGTAATTGTTATTTTCTAATTCAAGAACCAGCAAAATCAAGGTCCTCGATTTTGCACTCAAATTTCGCTTGATTAAGGTCTCCTTAAATTTGAGAATAAGATTTTTCAATTCAGGCACGGCTTGCAAAGACAGACTCTTGCCGTTTATCGAGATTTCTCTTACGGCGAGCTCGATATCTTCTTCTTCAGCAGACTCCAAGAGCATTTCTATGTAGCTGATAAGCGGAGCAGCCAAATACTCAAAGGGTTTGCCTCCAACGATGTATCTGTAATACACCTCTCCCATAAGCGATATGGCATTTCTTAAGACATGTTCACTTTTTTTCTTTAATTCGCCCCTTTCTTCGTAATCTTTTTGGAGGGTTTGAAGCAGAAGTACCCTCAAACTGTTGGAGTTTTTGTCAGTCATCCCAATAATTTTTGGATCACATATCGTTGACAATTTGATAGTAAACGCCCGATCGTCGAGGGCCCTCTCGTGAAGTTCATTCATGATTTCTCTGTGGAATCAATTCAGTTTCGTTTATAATTTGCCAGGTAATTGTAATTTTCTAAAAAGTATATAAAACTACTTACGGCAGAGAAGATTTTGTCATTGCCTCTTCGATTACTGGTATTATGTCATCGACAGTTTTGGTGGGTAAATCTTTCGTAACCACATCCTTCAATTGCATATTCTCGATGCAAGTTACGAGTTCACTGTACTGTTTCATTCCAGGTCGTCTTAAAGGAGCAACTTGTACTGGAGGAGCAAAACCTCTTCCTCGGCCTTTCGCAATTCCTGCCATTGTAATTCTAAAATGAAATTATCAAATTGAGTTAAGAATTTCTTAGTAGGTATGAGTAACGGAAATTCGAGGCAATAAACGATTAAAGTGCACATTTTCGAAAATTTTACTTGCTTACATACATTAAAAAATGTTTAAAAACTCGCGCTCACGTGCTTTTTTATTATACAGGTCTAAAAGATCTAAATGTGTATGAATTTATTCCAGTTTTTATTAACTTACAATTTTAAATAATTATTATTTTAATATTAAATAAGTATTATTTTAATCTAAAAAACTGTTAATTAAATGAAATGAAATTTGTTTTATCGTCATCAAATATTATAAAAATTTTAAATCAAAAAATTTTTCCCTATTAAAGCTAGAGTTAGTATTCGTTATTATATAAAAAATCGTGTTGTTCTATCGGAATCAAAAAATAGTTCGTTGAACTACAATACAATTAATTGAAATAAAATTAAAGACTAAATATAAACACAACCCTATACTTTTTTACATTTTGAAGCGCATACATGATCTATCTAACCTCAAAATGGAATTGATAACGTTACTTCAAATCAAAGATTTACTAAAAATATTGGTATTGCAAAGATTGAAAACTATTGAATTAATAATTGGACGATTTAAAATTATTATTAAATTGATACTCACATTTATTTGATCAGTTAACTAACGATTTGACAAGTATTGTTTGAGGCTTGTAGCAAGTTTCACGATAGCTGTAAGTGAATATAGATGCTGCTACTGTGGTGAAAGAACTGTTACTACTTGAAATGTCGAGGAGAAAGTACTTGCTAAGCGTCGATGCCTATTCAATACTGGCGAGATACCGTTTTACGCATGGCATGTACACTTTTATACAGCGTTGTATGGACCCGAGCCCCCTTGCTCCGAATTTTTTATATCTAAACGAGCGCGAAATTCAAATTAAAAAAAAATTCAATTGAATAAATAGCAAAAATTTTAAAATATCTTAATCTCGTATTTACTTAACAAAAATTTTAAATATTTTTTTGAAATTTAGAAATTAATGAAATACAATATTGAATTATTTCTATTATTTCTTGAAAAATTGTCTGACAACAACATGTATTCCATTCTTAAGTTTTATTAAATTATAAGATATTTAAGCTTGTTTGCGGAATAAAAAATTAAATTCCCTAATTTTGCCATTCGAGTAAGAACACATTGCTTTTCATTGCTTAAAATAATTTTAGGGTGAATTCTTTGGATCTAGGCGTATGATTGAATATCCACATCCACGAAAATGAGTAAATCTAATGAAATTTGAATATTTTGCTATATTTTGAATACATGTGCTTATTATTGTAATCGTAGATCTTCATTTATATAAACGTTGCAAATACACTACTCAACAAAATTATCGCAACAAAAAATTTCATCGTAATTTTGTCCATTTTCAAATAAATGTTCAATAAAACTACGATAATTCAATTTTTTACGTAAATTCAATGTTAATTTACCTCGATAATTCGAACAATATCATAATTCGAAATTTTGATAATTCGAAATAAAATTTTGCATTTCGAGTCCAGATATCATATAACTTTACTTCGGTAATTCGAGATGATATTGAGTCCAATCAATTATGCGTAGAAAGTGGTAATGTGAACTATGAATCTGCCGAGGCTTGGATGACATCGCTCGATCCAATTTTAAAAAAATACAAGACAAGATATGTTTTTAATGCAAATGAAACAGGATTGTTTTACAAGTGCCTTCCATCAAAAACGTACGATTTCAAAGGTCAACAATGTTTTGATGGTAGACACAGTAAAGAGCGAGTATCAATTCTTATGGGCGCCAATATGAATGGAAGTGAAAAACTTCCGTTGCTAATGATTGGCAAAACAGCCGATCACCTCGAACAAAAAAACTAGAAACTTTATTACTGAAAAGAAATTGTGACGAAGAAGTTTCTGATGATTTATTTTTTGCAATTTCAAAAGTTGAATCCTTTTTTAAAGAAAAAAACAAAAACGAAAGCTGTTAGTTCAATCTAAAATGACTTTTTATTTTAATGAAAATTGTGTTTACATATTAAATAAATAAAAATACCGTTTTTCTGTAATTCAAAAGTTACTTGATTTGGCCTCTCTTTTACTTTGTTAATTCAAACTTCGTTAATTCGATTTGGTCGATTTTGATTGTATCGGGACGGTTCAAGTCAATATCGAGTTAGAAGTAGTGTTTGAGCGCAACTAGAAAAGGTAATGAAACAAATCGATTGTTTAAATTCGTATGCATGGACTAAAGTAATTATTTTATCAAAATCTAAGATACACCAACGCAAATATCTCTTTTCAACGAGTAATTTTCAAAAAAATAGAGCTCTCTACGATCATTCTTGCGTGTAGGTCGTTTTGAAAAAGATGACTAATTCTTTTCAAAGATTGAAAATATGAATGGTTTCTGAACAAATTCGTGCGTAAAAAAATAACTTTGCGATTTTCTAGCTCGGTAAGGAACGCCTAAAACGAAAAAATGCAAAGAACAAAATAGTCTTAGAATTAGTCAAAGAATACGTGTGAATTTTTTCAGATTTTTTTAAACAAATTTTTTTAGTTATAAACAATAAATTTGTTAATAACTTTTAAAATACCAATTTTAACGCTTGGTAACCAAGCTAAATCGATTCAGCACACCAAAAAACCTATAAAAAGCTTTGGTTACCTTATGGACCTGAAAATGTATACTCGACCCATAGCTGGCGCCCGGACTAAAAGATCATTGTACCCGTTCACTTGACTTATCTGTAATTATATACTTAAATAACTAACTTGTCTGCTTTTAATTCATAAACATTAATATCTTTTTCTTTTACATTACTTTAAGATAAATAATAATTTTCAAATGTACATTTTTTTCTTGGTCGAAAGTCTAGTTTGATATATTGTTTTCGAATATGGGGTAAATGAATTTTTATTAGAATCAACAAATAAAAGAAAGAAAAAGGTTATATTGAAAAAAGCCCTTTGGTCAGTAATATTAAAATTAATTCATAAACATTAATTGCTTTTTCGTTTACATTACTTTAAGATAAAGAATAATTTTCAAATGTACATTTTTTTCTTGTTCGAAAGTCTAGTTTGATATATTGTTTTCGAATATGGGAGTAATGAATTTTCTTTTAGAATCAACAAATAAAAGAAAGTTCAAGTTCTTCGCCGTAAACTCATCCGCGAGAACAGAAGAACAAAAAAATTCCCCGAAGAAGTTTCAACAGGGGCCAGAACGGGAACTCGGTGCACCAGGTCGACGCGTTCATGTTCTCCACCACAAACTCATCCGCGAGAACAAGAGAACAAAAAAATACCCCGAAGAAGTTTCAACAGCGGCCAGAACGGGCACTTGGTGCACGCCACAAAAGAAGAATGTGTAAAAAATGTAAAAAAAGGCTTAAAACGTGCGAAATCGTAAAAAACGACCAATTTTTTGTATATATATATATATTATATATATGTACATATATGTACATACATAATATATATGTACATATATATGTACATATATGTATAACATATCTGTACATATATAACATATATGTACATATATGTAAAACATATATGTACATATATATATATGTGTACATATATGTATATATATGCTTTTTTTTTTTTTAGAAATCGAAATCAGAAAAATTGGTGACGCAAAAACGTTTAAAAAGTTTTCAAGGAGTAATATATAGGATGTGACGACCTAGTCACGACGGTCTCAATGTCCTCGCGGCCACAAACAGGCGAAACACCGGGGCGACAAATAAGTCAAATCTAGGGCCGATAAGGGAATTTTCATATCGCTGCTCGGTATAAATTCGCCATTTTAGAAATATAGGGGCTAGATATAAATCGCGTTTTTTTTTATTAATTGCAAAATAAACGATGATAATGTTTATTTATCGCAAAAATAATACCGGATTCTGAAAGAGCATACCCAAAAACCCCTGGGTATGGATTTTCAAGAAAATATTTTAACTTTATTTATAATTTTTTTACAATGGAAAATTCATGCACAAAATTGCACTTTGCTGCACTGCGCGTTAATGGGTTAATAAGTAATAGATGGGCTAAAATCGCGTCATTACACTAACAATCGGTTCTTTTCAGGCCCGTCATTTGGTTAAAACTTGGAAAATCTTACGCACTAAATAGCTTGTAACACTGTTTAAGCTGTAAACAGTCTACTCAGCCACTAATACTTAAAAAGTTCAGGAATGAAAGAAGCTTTTGAAATTTGTTGTTGCAACAAGATTCGTTAGAACAAGACATAAAAGAAGATGGAAGCATTTTAAAATTTCAATGAAAATGTTTGTTGGGATGATTTTGTTGCGAAGCGTATATTGTTGTGAGACGAGCGAGTTTGATTTTGTTAATTCGTCGATTTTGCGCTCAGTCACAGTCTTCGATAATGAATTCGATATTCGGTGTATTAAAGGCTGGTGGGAAAGTAATGACGTAGGTTCAGGAAAGGAAAAAAATAATGATCAATTCAGAATTGGTTAAAATTATAATTTTTTATTGTTAAACAAAATTAATATATACAATAATATATACAATTACAATTATATATACAATTAATTTATACAATATACAATACAATTTTTCATGAAAACTCATAGACTAGTCAATATATGATCAATATAACATTTGAAGTTTCAACTATACGAAAAAAGCGTACAAAAAACGTTTTTGTTGGAATTACAAAAAAACAAGAAGAAGAAAAAACAAACGGAAAAGAATTATTATTTTTTCAATGGTAATTGCACACGTTCCAGTTGAAAATGCATGCAGTTAAAATGGATACGATTTTGAAATAATGCTTTGTGAACGTCATACAAGCAAACACACACACACTTATGTATCGACGTTTGTCAGCATTTGAGATATAATTGAGAAGTTTGTCATTTATCAAATTATTGTACGAAAGTTGTAGCAAAAAATCGCTTTTAAGCCTCACGCAAAGCTTATTTCTCATTGAGAAGTGACCAAATGTAGCTTGCAAAACTAAAAGACAATTCATTCACGCACACATTTAGAGCCAATGTCCCGTTTATAGGGAATAGCCCGTACAAGCAGGGCGTCACTCATTTATAGAGATACAGAGCCCATCATTCGAGGTGAAAACCGTTTATAGATTTTACCTTTCATTCATACATGTCTTTTAGTCGTTGCATAGCCACAATCGATAGTACCTCGTAAGCTTGAAAATACATTTTTCAATACACCAATCGTAAATAATTTGATCAACACACTTCTCAACTGTATCAAATATTCTACAAAATGCCGTATGTAAATGTGTAGTATGTAGCTAATTAAACGTTCAGTTTGTGTCGTATCATTTATTTTGCTATTTATATTGGACATTTTTAATTTCAATTTTTGTGCATTTTCTTCCATTTGTTTTTTTTCTTTTTGTTTTAATCGTATGTTTGAAGTACTTTTCTAGTATATTTGTCAACTAATATTTTTTATAGTACTTTGAATCACCGTCTTCTTGGATGTGTAAATTTGCACTTCATCTTCGTGCATGATGTACCAAATTTACAATTTGGATGATTGTAAGAACACTTGTCTTCAAATTTGCAATTAGGGAAAGACTTGCACAGTACCGATGGATGAACAAATAAACATTTCGAGCCCGATCTGCAATTTGGCCAGAATCTGCATCGTTTACTGGTTTTCGCTGTAGATACAGCTTTCATATTTGAGCCTGTGGAAGATCGTTTACCAAGTCGCAATTTCACAGGCATACGATTAGCAGGTTCGAGTGCAGGAGAAGTACGCGGGCCGCGACTGGAAATTTTCCGGTCTTTCGCTTGAGAGTTACTGAACGTAATAATATTAACATTTTTAATTTTTCTTTTGTAAGATTTCTTGAGGCTAGACTGATGATATTTGTTAGAATCTTGTGATTCAATGAATGGTTCATCTTCTAAAAGATTATCGTCACAAAAATCATTGTTTAAATCATTCAGTGTAACAACAAACTTTTGTTCGTCGTTAGTTCTTTTGAATAAAGATTTAATAAAACTCAAGCTTTCATTAGAACTATTTAGAGATTCATTTCTCATAGCGGATTTGAATATTTTCTTATTTTCGACTTTCACATTAGTTATTGATTTTTTTATGTTTCGATTAAATAAAATAATTTTTTCTCCACAGTTTTTATAATTAGTTATTTTGGATTTTTCTAAGGTTTTTTTTTCCTCAAGACAAAGATCTGTTTGTTCTTGTAATACTACTGGTTTATTAACTTCAGTTACAGCTCTAACAAGCAAGGGTTGAGTAGCCGTTTTTTGAGATGGTTGCAATGATTTTAAGGGATCAGAAATTACTGTGTCTTTACATGGAACTTCATTTTGTTCCTCGTCTTTTATTTTCAAAATAGATTCATCTTTGTCCGATATAATGTGCATTTCACTAAAACTTGATTTTTCTAAGGTTTTTTTTTTCTCAAGACAAAGATCTGTTTGTTCTTGTAATACTACTGGTTTATTAACTTCAGTTACAGCTCTAACAAGCAAGGGTTGAGTAGCCGTTTTTTGAGATGGTTGCAATGATTTTGAGGGATCAGAAATTACTGTGTCTTTACATGGAACTTCATTTTGTTCCTCGTCTTTTATTTTCAAAATAGATTCATCTTTGTCCGATATAATGTGCATTTCTCTTAAACTTGATATTATATTTGCAATGACTGTACTATCAATTGTTATTGTTCTTACTGGTTCATGACTATAATTTTTAGAACGTTTCAAAAGAGGGCCTACTTCATCAATTTCCCCATCGCCAAAAAATGCAGAACTTCTCGTTCTTTTTCTACAGACACTATCCTTTTTTTCAATTGCTAAATTAGTACTGACGTAATCATCAACGGTAGCCGGAGTACCTGATTTTTCTGCCGATTTATTTATAAAAATAGCTTTTGTTCCTGCTAAACTCATCGCTAAATTCTGATTCATGTTAAGGCCGAAAAAATCAATGATCACAAACAAACTTTATTGATATTACTTGTCGAGAGCTCACGTGCTAACGCGCACTTAAAGAACTTCTTTATTTTTCGAAGTGATTAATTAACAGTAGAATTAGTATTTTCGAATATTAATTAGTATATTCAAATTAGTAAATTCAAATTAGACAATTCAAATTAGACACTTCAAAATTAGACAATTCAAATTAGACTTTTCGAAATTAGACTATTCGAAATTAGATTTTTCGAAATTAGATTTTTCGAAATTAGACAATTCAAAATTAGACACTTCAAAATTAGACACTTCAAAATTAGACAATTCGAAATTAGATAATTCGAGATTAGACAATTCGAAATTAGTAAATTCAAGAGACAGAGGCGCACTCAGACACGAGAAGCTTTCTCTTTCGCTGGAAGGAGCCTATATTTAAAGACTTTACCGTAAAACTCATTTAAGGGCACGCATAAAGCACTCAAAAGCCACCTGGCGGTAAAAATTCCAAGTAGACAAAGAAAAGGCAGCGATCGACGGTTGCGGGAGCGTAGAGCTGGGGGGTACACTCTAGTGGCCTGAGCAGCAGCAGCAGCGGCAGCGGCAGTGGTCAAAATTCTTAGTAGATAAAGAAAAGCGGTGCTGCTGCATAACTCGCCAGCAGTCATAGCGATAAAAAGGCAGCGATCGACGGTTGCGGGAGCGTAGAGGCCAGAGGGGGGTACACTCTAGTGGCCTGAGCAGCAGCAGCAGACGCAGCGGCAGTGGTCAAAATTCTGAGTAGGCAAAGAAGACGCGTTTTTCTCAAAACTACTTTTTTTCAGCTCTCGCCAGCGATTGAGAAAAAACTACTAGTCCGATCTCTACCTTTAATATCTCGTTTCAATCGATACAACTTTCTCTAGAAGACAAACCTCTAAAAAGTTGAATAAATTATCTCCAATTTTTTAATAAGGGTGAATTCACCTCGAAAAGAGCATTTTTTTAGAAAAACTCCTGGCAAAATCGTAAAAATTGAAAAAATTAATTTTTGAGAGGTTTGTCTTCTAGAGAAAGTTGTAACGATTAAAGCGAGATTTTAAACGTAAAGAACATATAGAATACAGCGAACAAAATGGGTCTCAAGTCCCATAAAAAAATTGTTTTTGTAATTCAATATGTAAGGAACAATACCGAAAAGGTTTGGAATGAATAAAAATTATAGTTCTCAAAAAAAAAATATTCAAAAAATGATTTTTTTTTACAATTTGCAATGGGAATTTCCCCTTAAAAGAGAATATAATGATATAAAATTCGAAAAATTGATTCTCCGCTTTAAAACACGGCTGATAACGTGTAGAAACACGAAAACCCTAGCCAGCATCCTGACATAGACTTCAATATTGCTGGCTGGCTCTGACCGTCATGTGCTCTCTGCACCATATATGTAATTGTAGAGTCTACAGTTACTTATACTATACCGCCGGGCGCCGGCTGCTAGCGACGTCCGCCGCGCATGAGTTCGCCTGTCACTTCATTCGTTGTATCTTGAATCAGTAGCTAGACCGCCCGCACGTGAACGTGTTTTGAAGGTTATTCGAGTTTTAAAAAATCCTTTTGTTATTTGTTTTAAGAAAAAAAAATATGCGTTTCGCCCGAGCCAAAGGTTCCAAAGCGTCGAACGAGCGCGTGCCCGAAGACGCTACACCATGGCACGAGATGAAGGCCCAATTGGAGGAGGTCAAGGAGAAATCCAAAGAGCCGGCGGCGACCAAAACGAAAACTGCCAGACAATTGTTGAAGGAAAAGGACGATCCTAACTGCCCAGCGAGCAATAGCGGTGGTGATTGGGCCGAATTCGATGTGCCGAAGAAAAATAAAAAACTAATCGAGAATGGAAGTGTTGGTAAAAAAGAAAAGATCGACAAAAAAAAGTTGAAGAAGGCTGCTAAAAAGCACGTGGGAGCTGCAAACGACATGAAGAAGCCTGTGGAAGCTACAAACGATGTAAAGAAGCCTGTCGATGCTGCAAATAATATGAGTAAGCATGTGGAAGCTGCAAAAAATACAAAGAAGCCTGTGGAAGCTACAAAAAGTGCAAAGAAGCATGTGGAAGCTGCTAATGATACAAAGAAGCCTGTTGAAACTACAGAGTGTACAAAGAAGCACGTGGAAAATGTAAACGATACAAAAAAGCATTTGGAAGCTGTAAGTGATGTGAGCAAGTCTGTAGAAGCTAGAAATGAGAACAAAGAAGACGGTCAACAATTGAGTAAAAGACAAAAACGAAATAAAAAGAAGCAGATAGCTAAAAATGCAGTGAATGAAAACAATGAATCAAGCATGTTTGATAATGAATGGGGCTTGAAAGTTACTGATAATAAAGGTCCATCCTTAGAAGATTATGCTAATGCTCCTGATAGTAATACTGCTCCTCAAGTAAGTGAATCTCAAAGTCAAACAACTGAAAATGCAGCAGACCCAAAACCCAAAAAATTCAAGAGGAAATTTGGCTGTTTAGACGATAAAAACTTCTGGCGATTTGGTTCTTTAGATAATGTTCCAAAGAAATTCCAGAAAAAAGTAGCCAAACCTAGAGATGATGGTGAACATAAAAGAAGAAAACCAGATTTTCATTCTACAAAAGTAACAATTAATGGAGTAGATGTGGAAATATGCAAATATGATGGTTTTCCAGTTAAGAAAGAAGATGCAATAAGATTAACTGAACTGAGGAAAGAAATGGTTATGAAAGGTAATGATCAATTTTTAATCATTTTTCAGAATAACTTATACTGAGTTTTTGTCTGATAAATCCTAAAAACTTTAATGTACATATTACACATTCTCTAGAAATAAACAATTCATGAATTAAATTTTTTTTCTAGGTATTCCAAAAAGAGATATTGATGCTGCCATGAAATTAGAAAGAAGAAAAGCTGAAAAAGTACTGGCAAGAATAAGGAGACAAGTTTGTTTCCATTGTCGAAAAGCTGGGCATAATTTATCTGACTGTCCAGAACTTAATCACGAAGAAGGTGCTACAGGAATTTGCTTTAAATGCGGCTCAACTGAACATACACATTTTGAATGCAAAGTTAACAAAAAAGAGGGTGAATATTCATTCGCCAAATGCTTCATTTGTACTGAACGAGGACACATAGCAAAACAGTGCCCACAAAATAGCAGAGGTTTATACCCCGATGGTGGTAGTTGTAACACATGCGGTGACGTTACTCACTTGAAAAAAGATTGTCCAACTTTAATAAAGAAAAAAGAAGAGACTACCTTGACACTTGATAGATTAACTAATGATAACTTGGAGTCATTAGAAGGTGAAGGCATGGTTGTTGAAAAAGTAGAAGAAAAACCAAGTAAAAAAGTTATTAAATTTTAGATTAAATGCTAAAGCAATTGTATAAAAGTTGTGCGACATTGCTAATTACTTGAAAGGTCTATACATATTTTTTTGTAATATAGTAAATTAGACACGTAATAATGTTTGTTATAAATAAAATTCTTTATTTATATAACTTTATATAACTATATCTAAATTTTCATTTATATTCCCTTCTATCATACATGAACCGAAATCTATCATATAATTTCTTTGTATCATATCAAAATTTACCTTCTATACGCAGTCAAACGAATCGGAACGTTAAATTTGTACTTTTGCCGCTCGGAGTTCATAGATATTGCGTCCAATCACAGTATCGCAGTAAAATGCTCCAATCCAACTTGCAAATTCTCAAACCACCGAGCGCGCCACTTTGAGCACGCAACACAACTGTTTGTAGTAAACACACGCAGCTGACGACGCAGCAATGGGGCACATTTTCAATTGATGTATTACTGCATTTTCGGATGAAAAAATTGTATGTTAGTTAAATCTGTGCGTGTCGGTTTGTGCGTGCTCTTTTGTGCGTGCGTTGGTCAGACGTTGGTGGAGGTGACCAAGCACAGAATGTCTTTCTTAAGAAATAATTCTTTCGACTCGCCGAGGAGGGTAGTCTTGAAGAGCAATAACAATAGTTTTCATTCTAATAGTTCCGTAAGTGAAACAAATAGATTTTTTGTTATCTACTCGTGTCAAGTTTCATTGTTGACATAAATATTGAATTTTTTTTCGTCGAGAGACAACACAGATATGTCAAAAATTTGAATGATTTGTGTATTATTTTTTGTAATTTGTTACCTTATCCAATGGTGATCTTCAAATAATATACTGCATTATTAACTTTTACTGAGCTTTAAATAAAACATTATTAATCATCATAAATTATAAACATACTTTGATAAAATACATAACCTTGATAAAACAGCACTCACAGAATCTAAAAATAAACAACTTCTTAAAGTTTCTGAAAAATATAGATATGCTGTGCTTGTATGATTGTTTACAATAAAATATTGCACTTCATCTAATAAATTTACTAAGTAAATTTAATTTTATAAAAAATTGTGTTTCTACTTTTAATTTTTATTTTACAGATATTATCAAATGGAGCAGACATCACCCAAGAATTTGAAAGTCTCAAAATTTCCATTTTTAATAAAGCTGCTCGTGTTTCTGGTGAAATCAATCATGTCACCATAGGACCCAAGGCTGTTACTATCATTAATGAAAGCAATGTTCCAAAAAGTCCTGTGATTGATTCAGAATCAAAGGAAAACAAGAGGACAGTTGATAATACACCGCAAAAAGTGTTGAATAGTAAACTAAAATTTTCTATAAAAAAAATACTCTTGGAAAATGAAGTACAACGTCGGGATAAAGTTAAAGTATGCTGTAAATTTTAGAGGATTGAACTGCTGCTTCTCTACCAAATTTCAATAACATTTTTTATTTCAGAAAGCCATTGATCAAAAGAAAAAAGAAATGGAAAGTTTCCAAAGAAATATGCAAGATGAACTTTCTGTTCTTATGGAACAAATGGTTATTCAAAAAGAAAAAGAATTGGAAGAAAAGTTAGCTCGTTTGGAGGCAGAAGAAGAAGAGTATGCTCTACAAGAAAGATTAGAAAAACAAAAAGAACTTCAAAAGCAGAGATTGAAAGAAAATGAAGAAATATCCAAAAAAATGATTCCTTTCAGAGATCGTTTCAGTGAAAACTGCAGAGATATTGCTCAATTATGTCAAACCTGCAAGGACAGTCAATCAGCTACAGAATTATTTGCACCATATGCTGTACAACTGAAAGAACTTACTCAAGAAATGCAAAATTTAAATGAAAAAGCTAAGGTAGAGGCTCAAAACTATAATTCAATACTTTTCATACTTTTTTACTCAACTTAATTACATTTTAGGCAGGTGATTTAAGTGTATATGATCTTCAATTGGCAGACTCCTTATACCAATGTAGCAATGAAATATACAAAACATTCAAAGCTTCAATGGGTACGTTGTTATTGACTGTAATTATCAATGTGTTATTAATAAAATATCTTTTTCAGAAAAATTTGATGAATTGTATGAACTAGAAATTGCTAAAAGAGAGCAGGAAATGAAACAAGCAGAATTGAATGCACAAGCAGAAGCAGAAAAAATTTTACAAGAAACTCAAGCAGTCGCTGCATCTCAACCACAAGACTTAACTCACGATAATTTAGAGCAATTAGTTGCTCAAATTCATGAAAAAACAGAAGTAGATAATGTTGCTTCGTCTCAAACTTCTTTCTTACCACCACCATCAGAACAAGCAGCAGCTGCCAGTATAACAGCACCACTTCAACAAATTGTTGCAGAAGTTACGACTGGTTATCCTGATCCTGAAAGCTACAAATTATATGAAAACAGTAAACAGCATTTAGAAAAGTATATTGCATCTTTTGATGACTTTGCTACATCTACTGTTATGAAAAAGTTTAAATTTGAGTGCCAGAAATTGCTAAACATTACAGTCAATTCTATCTCGCAAGGAAGCCGAGAACAACTGGTTGAAAAGTATGATAAATTGAAGTCATTTTTATCTGGCAGATCTAGTCCGAATATACTAACGAACCCACAAGCCGAAGCTTTTTCAAAGCATCTGTTGGCGCAAAAAATAGTTGACCAGGGTGATACCACAGTATCAGTAAAACCAGAGCTGGCTTTTCCATTTGCAGCAATTGCAATAGCTCTGTGGAACGATTGGCCAGATTTTGGTGAACTGCTTATTGCGCGTTTTCATGTGAAAAGCCCATTCTTCGTTCCTGTATTTTTATCGCAATCTAGCGATCAATCCGAAACCGATTATTACAAATTACTGGGATGTAAGTTCAATGACAACGGTACCCCAGAAAAGCCTGACCAATTTTGGAAACGACTTGGCGGAGTGATGTACATGTATGCATCAATCATTGTTACGAAGCAGAGAAAAGGAATTGACAAACCTCATCCTCATGGTCTAGGTAATGCTTGGAGATGGCTTGCAGCAACAGTTAATATAGGTATATATTGTTTAATGATCATTTTAATCCATAATAAAGTATTTATTTTTATATTAAAATCATTTTACAGCTCCAAGAAGTGATAATGCTGACATATGCGCGACATTGATATTTGTGCTCTTGGAAGTAACTGGAAATGAGTTATGGAAAACATATCCCAAACAGTTTCCTAAACTTCTAATGGTTCTTAATAACGATTATTATGCTAAATTAAAAAGTTTTGACGCAGTCACAAGTGCTCCGATTGCAAGATTAGGTGATTTTCTGGAAACAGCCATTAAAAGTGGCACTATTCCACCGCCTAAAGGACAGTTACCAGTCAACTTTTGGTAAAATTACAATTTCGTTTACTTATACCATATCGATATTGGTGTATATATTTCCTTACAAATTAAACGCGATATAATAATTCATGTAACGATGGAAAATTTTGTAACGCTACGAAAGAGTAATCGAATTTATCGTTAACTCATATTGAGCTACGTGTGTTGCGTTATGACTATATGTGTGTTTTTTGATTGATATACACCTCGATTGTACATTGAAATGCTAATCACTCTGCAAAGTGATTTTAGAAAAGTTTGTTGCTTAAATGCAAAGTGTTCTTTGTCGATTTATACATATTGAAAAGAAATTTTTTTATATCTTACAATAAAAGATTCACTGCGTTCGTAGACAAACGATATTTACTTGTACAAAAAATTGTTCAGAGTTGCGATGAAAAAACGAAGCATTTCAACTCGACCGAAACTGTAGATTTTAAAATTAGAGATGCATGTGACATTAAATGCAGAGCCAAGGAGAGATAACAATAATGTATTTGTATTTTTTACAACATGTTAATAGTACGGAGCGCTGGTAGGCACAGATTTTATTTCTGGTATTTCACCGAGCTTGTTGCTGTACTCGGCAAAGCCGAGCACGCTGTATGGGGTAAACTTTTCCAACCACTCTGTATCTTGACGTATCTGCAGCAAATATTTTTCTATTTTGTTGACCGTCTCGGCTGTAAATGTAAAATAGAAATCGATTTACAATGCGTCAAAAATAATATGATTGTTCATCATCGGCAGCATTATTATTACTGTATATAAATTATCATTATATTTATCCTCTTTTGAGCGACGACGATAAGCGAATAAAGAAATTTTTTATCCTGCAACATTTATTACTCGCGCGTGTGTGTGCGTGTGTATTTTTTAGTAATCTCTTACGTGGCATTCTTTTATTCGCGAATATCTTGTAAGGCGGCAGCGGCCCCAGACTGCTCAGTATGTGCAGCGAGTAGACGCCCGGCAGAGTCTTGCGATGGAAGCGGATGACCGGCGACTCGAGCACGCACACCTCGACCTGCTTGCCGGCGACCATTTGAAGCGCCGACACGTGAGAACTGGCATCTGTATACGTACACGATATAAATCTTACCTATTTTCAGACTTCTACGTAATAAATATAATCACCCAAAGTATTTCCAAAAAAACTGGGTCCCTCGCCCTTGAGGCGCAGATAATTGAAGAGCAAGGCGCTGACTCCGCGACTGGACCTTCTGTCGGGCAGGGCGCATCTGTGACCCCTCAGATCTAATAATTCCTGCAAAATGCACACAATCCATCGTTACGTAATACTATCTCTCGGAGGAGGAGCACGAATACGACGAGAGATGAGGCGAACCTCGACGTGGGGCGCTCGATCCGTGGCGACGACGACGTCCGCGTAGACGGCCGGCGAAAAGTCTTTGTTGAGCCGATGCTCGAAAACGAAGCCGATCGGCAACAATCGGCCGTCCTCCCACGACGAGTCAGTGGGTAAAATAGCTATATAAGCAATTGCACAGTTACAACGATGCTTACAACGTAATGCTATAATATAATAATATGTATCGATTAAAATTACCGATATCGACGACCTCCTTGGCCACGGGCCGATCTCGTCTGGCCTCGTGCACGATCACGCAGGGCCTGTTGCAGGCGGCCTCGATCGCCTCGGCCACGACCTCGAACAGTCCGACGGGCAGCGACGGCACGAGATGCGTCGCCAGCACCAGCGGCCGCTCGGCGAAGGACGGCGCCGGTCGCGGCGCTCTCGTGCGGGGCACCGCCGGATCGACCATCGGTTTGCTCGGCGTCTGCGAGGAAAAATTTTTCGTCGATCAATCAACGTTATAATGTTTTATTATCGCTGCGCGACGAGAGACGACATCGAGAGAATGCAATATCGCATATAATACCGGTTCGATGACCGGCAATCTCTTCGGTTTTTCCGAGACGTTTTTCTGCTCAGCCGCTGCAGACTTCGTTTCGACGTCTTTAATCGGGGCGTCGTTATCGATGTCCTCCTTGGAGACGACGGATGATGCGACGCTCGCGCGAACGACCGGCGAGACGGCGGCGGCGGCGGCGGTGGTGCTGATTTTTACGTCGGGCTTCTCCGTGAGCGTCGGCAAGGCCGAGGAGCTGGCCGATACGGACTTTTTGGCGGTAGGCACCGACACCGCCTGCGCCATCAACTCCTTGATTTTTCTCGTTGATGGGAACGAAGACGGAAATTGGGTCGGACTTGGTTCTTTCGACTCGGATTTGACGGTTTGCGACTTCTTGTCCATGGCGGCGACGGGGATGGTTTTGAGATCGATAAAATTTTCTGTGCCTCTAGATTAACAGGGATTAAAACGAATGGTAAAAGCTCTCAAAATGTTACTTTAAAAAAAATTGAAGACAACACATTTTTAAAACTCTTTGTGAATTTTTTATTTTTTCAAAGTGTTTGTTAAATCCAAATAATCTATATGAATTACAAACTTATGAACGTTTATTATCTTCGATATTTTTTGTGTATTTTGATCATTAATCATGCTTGTTATAATTTGACAGAAAATTCTTTTAATTGTGCAACAGCATAGCAAACACATTTTCAATAAATGCAAATAAAACAAATTTTTTATCTCAATCTTCGTATTCGTACGCTACTTCGTTTGCCGTTGCATTTTGACGCGCTCGGAAACGATCGAATCATCGATTCCGAAGGTAAAATTAAACCCAGCAAAAATTGATCACTGTACCTGCAAAGAAACAAGCTCGCTCAGTTCCAAAAATGCGCCGCCGAGAGACCCTCGATTTTTCACGCCGAGCAGCAGCAGCAGCGCATCGTCCTCGAAAATCTATATTTACAAAGAAAAATCGGTACACGCGCACAAAGCTCAGCCTCTGTTTGCATTAGCAATATACGACGATGTTTTACTTTGCACGACTGGCGAGCGGCGACTGACACGGCGCATCGATGCAGTTTACTCTCAGGCAGCGGTCGCGTGGATGCGCGATAATGCATAAAAAGGGAGAGGCGCGCGCGCTCGAAAGTGGCGCCTTTTTCGTTATATAAAATGCATTTTTGAGACTCGTCGCCGACCTTTTCGATATAATACGCGTGTAACGCCACACGATCATCTCTGCCTTATCGTCGGCTGAGAGAACGCGTGAACATCGCGTGATCGCCGTCGTCGTGCGAATTATGTGTTTATATGTTATTGCAGAGAGTCCGGCGGCGACCGATACTTTCCCGACTTTGTTGAAGAAATTTTCGTGATTTGTGTGAACACTCATCCGTCGCGTTTCGGTGTCTGTTGGAATATTTATCGGCGCTCTTTTTCGTCGCGAAGCGTTGCTGCGCACATGACGTGTCTCGCACGCGCGCAATTAGATTATGATTTTTTTATTTTTTATTTTTTTATTCATCGCGTGACAAAAATCGTAACGATCCTTAACGTTTTGGAAATTGCGATTGCGTTATAACGCGGCACGTGTGAAAATATTATAACAGCGATAATAATAATGTACGGGATGCAGTTTCTCCATTGCCGTGTACCGATAACGCAGACTTGCGCGTACATTTCAAATGGTACACTTGTATATTATTATATTCGATAAACCACCTGTTGGAGCAAATCTCTGGATTGGAAACAAAAGAAGTATAATCGATTGCAAACGTCCAACATTTTTTTTGGCTCGCACCTAAATGAATAATGACGTTTCCCAACGTAAATACACATCACGATGTCACGTGCGTTCGATTCGGAATCAGCTGTCGCAACACAATCGACTCGTTATTATAAACATCTTAATCATTTTTTTTGTCTCTTCGCTGATACAAACCCGTCTATTTGATCGTTTGATCGAACGATCATACATATCGTTGCAGTAGATTGCTTTGCGTAGAAGGGCGAGTTTTACAAACGGACGAAAGTCCCACCGACCGATTATCAATCGATATTTATTTATTTTATTTTTTTTTTTATTCGACGACAAAATATCATTCACAGGCCGATGAAAACTTCGTCCGTACGCACAAGCTCGCCTCGTTTTATCCTCGGGTCTTGTACAGCTGCAGCAGCATCTATATTATACATTTACTATACGAGACATTCACTTACCTGTACATACACACGTGGTCGACGTAATTCGTCTACGTCTCTCTCTCTCTTTCTATGTATACCGCTGCTATACAGACACACATATATCGCGCGCACAGTCGCACACCGTGAGAGAGAGAGGAGAGAGAGAGAGTGAGAGACAAGTACAGGTATACTACTACACAAGCATCTCTCGCGGCTTTCGGAGTCTCGCGCGCGAGCTGCTCTAGCGCCTATAAGAGCACGACTCGAGCTAGCTCCTCGCGTCTCCTGCTCTCCTGTTACCTTTCTTTTTTTTTCTGCATCCCGCCGGCGTAGAGTCATTTTCGACATCGCGCGCGACTATCTACCACTACGACGACGTAGACGTAGACGACGACGTGCGCGCCACCGCGAGGCAATATTCAGCCGCGCATGCTAGAGAAAGAGAGAGACTTTGTATATACACGTATTACCTAGCGAGTATATCTATCTCTCGCTGTGCAGTTCAAAGTCTCTTTCTCTCAGATTAACTATACTATTGAAGCCCATCCGCGAGGACAATCAGTCAAAATCTCTCGTTTATCGATGTAGAAAGCGCCGCAGCTTTTCTATTATCGACTCGCACGTACACACACGGGATTATGAAAACGATCGTCTCTAATTAATGACGTTATTGTTTGCTTGTATAGAAACGATCAACGTGCGTGAATCGGCGAGAGGTGTGATTGATTCCGGACATTATGTTACAATAACTGAAAAGTAGCGCGCTGTATTTTATACGATATACATGCGGGCGTGATGATGATTTCTCGAAAGGAAAATTTAATGAAAAAAAAAAAAATACGGATACTTTTATATCGCTTGTATTCCATCATAGCCCCATAATGCTTTTATAATAGCTGTTGTGGGTGAGAATAATAATCGATGTACGGCGATGATGTATGACGATACATTTTTCGACTGTCGCGAAGAGCAGATATATAGAGAGGCAGAGACTAAGCGAGGTGTATACACAGCTGAGCTCCGACGTACCGACGACAGTGATACGTAATTACAACAAAAAAAAATCTGCACACAGGTAGATATGCGCGCGCGCACGTTCGTCGATCGTCCGTCGTTATTCGGCAGTTTGTGAATGACTTATCGCGAAACTGCATCGCGTGCGATGATTGTTACTGTATATAGCTTATATTTACAGGCTCGTTGATTCTCGCGCGAAGGAAAAAAAATCAAGGAGCCGTTTGAATCTCGACGGGGGGATCGATCATCGACTCGAGCGGCGAACGACTGAATCGCTGGACGAGCGAACACCTTTAACAATAAAATAGCGATATACTTGTCTAACACAGTTTAACGACTGGTGCAAATAGTATTATGTACACACACACAAACACACCTACACTCTCACACACAATACAAACGAGAAAGATTTAAAATAGCTCACGTGCAGATCTAGTCGAGCGCGTTAAAAACCCTCCTCGTATCGAATTAACGAAATCAGCTGAATCATCTGCCCGAGAGCATATAACAACTATAATAATATGATGCACTAAACCCGCGCGGAGTCGTTCGATTAATATAATCGAGATTTTCAATGCGGTTTATGTGTGCACGGTACAACACAACTACGAGCTTATGTACATCGTTAATATCGTATGCTAACACCGAGCGAAATTTTTTTTCGCTTTTCCACGCTCTCTCTCTCTCGCTCTCCCTCTCCTGGGTTGCTGCGCGAATGTATTATAATAGCTCGTGCGTACGCGGGGAAAACCCAATTTATTTTTTGGAGCCGTGCGCGTGACATCCGTGTGTTGGTGTAAAGTAGAGTCAAACGCACACGTAACGTAATGATTGACGCACGAAATATTATTCCCTGTGCAAATTCCTTCCACGAAAACCGAGAATGCATTTTGGAGTAATTGGCAAAAATATTCAATCATCACCCGTGAGAGAAATTTACAGAACGACTAACGATAACAAATACAATATTTCACACTGACAAAGCGTGATTTTGTAATTTTTATCGGATACATATGAAGCGATATACATGCACAGACGTTTTATTAATACCCCCCGCACATTGCACAATCGTCGCGCACATCTTGCAGCAGTCGCGCGCGCGAGTCATCATCATCGTCGTCGCGCAACTCGGTTCGTTTTTTTTTCTTCTTTTTTCATCCAAATAATCTACGTTATGTAAATATCGTTTGGCCAATAAGAATTCAGAGTTGGTTTTATTTACCTGCAACGATAAACACAAACGCATATTTTTTTTTGCAATATAAAATGTACTTGATACATGCTACACACATAACGAGCGAGAAATACGAATCGATGATAAAGAAAGTTTGCGTAGTCTGACAAAATTCGATCGGGCACGTGTCGCGTTATAATTCGCTTATAATATATATACCTTCGTGGTGATAAAGAGACTTTGTATAATGAAAAAAAGAGAGACAGAGAGGGAGAATAACGACATATATCGCTAGCCGAGACAGAATATATATATACATGTATTACTTTTTTTCGTAGACTTAAATGAACAATATATATCTCCCCGTTTGACTGTTTAAATTCTAAATTTAGAAATGCCGCGCGCGATGGTCGTGGCTGGAAAATGATATATAGTAATGGCATACTCTAACAGTTTTTTTATTTTTTATTTTTCTTTTCGTCGTCTACGATATACACTGAGAAAAAATTTTCATTGATTCAATGAAACGTTTTATTAAAGACATTCTATAAAATAATTTCATTGATATAATCTTTGTTTATTTCATCCAACAAAATATTTAATTGTTTTTATCAACGCTTCGTGAAAACATTTAAATATTTTGTTGGATGAAATAAACAAAGATTATATCAATGAAATTATTTTATAGAATGTCTTTAATAAAACGTTTCATTGAATCAATGAAATTTTTTTCCCGAATACCTTTTTTCCCGAATACTTTTTTTCCCCGAATAATACAATTTGGAGGCATTTTTTTTTTAAAGTTTTATTGAGGCAGGGATAGTGGTGTTATGATAGTTTTATGTTGCTGCTTATATCTGAGAGGTATTATATGATGTTCTTCTCCCGCTTGTATCTCGGGTATTCATTTGTGACGCTTCGCAACCGTTGTTGATGCTGCACCCACTTTGCCTCGGGTGCATTTTTCACCGCTTTACCAGAAGGTCCTTCCTTTTGCCTGCCGGGACCGGAGGTACACGTACCCATCTATGAGTAATTTTGTTGTGCCCGAGAACTTTGCCATTGCACAACACAACGCGCACTTTTAATTTTTACACTCGCACAATACAACGCGCACTTGTGAATTTTACACTAGCACAACGGTAAAATAGGCCGTTCGGGAAAAAAGTTTACCCACTAACGACCAAAACTGCCGCTACTGCTGCTGTTTAGGCTGCTGGCGAGTGTACCCCCCTTACACTCCCGCAACGCTCGATCGCTGCCTTTTTACCGCTGTCACTGCTGGCGAGTTATGCAGCAGAGCCGCTTTTCTTCGTCTACTAAGAATTTTGACCGCTGCCGCTGCCGCTGCGTCTGCTGCTGCTGCTCAGGCCACTAGAGTGTACCCCCTCTACGCTCCCGCAACGCTCGATCGCTGCCTTTTTACAGCTGTCACTACTGGCGAGTTATGAAGCAGCACCTCTCTTCTTTGTCTACTTGGAATTTTTACCGCCAGGTGGCTTTTGAGTGCTTTATGCGTGCCCTTAAATGAGTTTGACGGAAAAGTCTTTAAATATAGGCTCCTTCCAGCGAAAGAGAAAGCTTCTCGTGTCTGAGTGCGCCTCTGTCTCTTGAATTTACTAATTTCGAATTGTCTAATCTCGAATTATCTAATTTCGAATTGTCTAA